CCCCCCTACCTACCCCCCCTCCCTCCCTCCCCCGTGTAATACAGGCCGTGAAGAGGGTAAACGCCCAGGAGGACTGGGGCAGAGAAGGAAAGATACATATTGAATTCGGGAGCAATGTTGTCCCATTTCCCCCCGCATATGTCACACGGCGGGCGGCACTGTTGTCGGTGCCATGGGCGAGGGGAAGCGAAGAATCACCTCACCAGCGGAAGCAGCAAAGGGGGCACCTCCCCAGCCCGGGTCAGGGGAGGTCCAATGGACGCAGGCGCACAGCCAGCACGTGTCGACTGCCTACTTGCGACGAACCGGCCCGTCAAACTCGGAGATCCCGGCATTGGCACCACGGGGGGGAGGAGTGGCCCGCGTGGGATCCATGAAGCGGTTGGTCGACACCAGGTCATGGTTGAGCGACAGAGACACCGGCGCAATGCGGCGCGAGGTGTTGGTGAAGGAGTACAGCGACCCGAAGTCCAGAATGGCCGAGTTCTGCTGGGAGACAGTGTACTCGTCAAGGTGCCCGCGCAGCACGGCACGCATGGACCAGCGGATCATCAGGTTGCCGACACTGAGCGCGAGAGTGGCACCCAGGGAGGTTGCCAGGAAGGGCAAAGAGGCCGCGAGAGGGAGTTAGCAGATGGCGCAAATGTGTCCAGGCAGCAAAGTGCCAAAAAGGGCGGGAGAGGGGAAGGGAAGGGGAGGCGAGCGTGGCACGCACGTGGCGATGATGGAGCGCTCAACCTTGTCACCGACACTGAAGTAGGCGTTGGTGAAGGCGGCCGACGACGAACGGAGGAGCTGCTTCAAGTGCAGGGGCTTGAGCATCAGGCGGATGGCCACCGGCTTGCGGTCCTTGGGGATGACCTTGGAGAAGCCGTTGGCCGCAGCCTTGGTATCGGCATAGGAGTTGTTGATCAGCAGCACGCAATCCGTGAAGGCCAGGAGGATGTAGTTCCCGTCGGCGGTGACATCGCAGCTGACAACACGGCCTTCAAGCCGGGAAGCGGGGACGAAAGCAGGGGCGGGAGCAGGAGCCGGAGCAGGAACGGCCAGACAGATACGGGCACCAGGGAGGCAGGTTAGCGAGGAGCCAGAGCCACAAACGGCGGAGGAACGAGAAGCAAAAGAAAGGGGCCCACGGGCGAGGGAGCGCACCCGGCAGCGGCTTGTAGAGGTTCTTGGCACGGATGTCCGGCTTGTCGTAGAGGCGCAGAGTGCCATCCTGGCTGACGGCCAGAATGTGGCCGTCGTTGGTGGTGCACACCTGCAGGAAGTTGGTCCGAGTGGAGTCCTTGTACTCCATGCTAAGGTGGATGGGGCAGTCACACAGAGGTTAGCGGCGCCCGTGTGGCAGGAAGGGCGAAGAGGGCGTCGGGGGGGGGGGAGCGAGACGAGCCCAAGCGGGCGGGCCGGCAGTCCGGCCGAGGAACAAGGCAGCCATGGGGGGGGGGAGGGGGGGAGGGGGCATTCTTTGCCGGCTCGGCGGCCGAGGCACGTACCCGACACCAGTGTCGACCTTGGCCACACGCGAATCCAGGATGTGGAGCTTGTTCTTGCTGATACCGACGAAGGTCTTCTCGTCGGACATCTGGGAGAACTTGCTCCGGCCGCTGAGGGCGCGGATGGTCTGGGACGGGGCCTCCTGAGTGCAAGTCAGGCGCATGGCCGGGATGTCAGTCACGGGAGGGGCCTGCGGGATTGTGCCGACACAAAAGAGCAAAAGAAAAAGAAAGGCCCCCGACAGCCAACATCGGCATATGGTGGCCGCCATCGCCGCCGCCGCCGCCGCAGATTATGCCCCATCATGGGAAGGAGGCGGCGCCCACGTCAGCAGCAGCAGCAGCAGCAGCAAGCACGCACATATTCCGTCACCACACCAGTCTCGATATCCATCTTGCTGAAGCCGTCCGTCAGCAGGGCAATCGAGCGGGCATTGTCGGCCACCACCATCTGCGAAGGGGTGATGGCCTTCTTTTTCGAGTCGGTCAGCTGGTGCACGCCCTGGAAGGCCACACCATCGGTGTCGGCCAGCTCGGCCGGCGACAGGTCATACAGGTGGCGGTAAATGCCGACCTGCGACCCGCGCAGGATGTAGCTGCGCTGGGCGTCCCCGCTGTAGCCGACCACCAGATCGTGTCCGGTCCCCGGGGCCAGAACGGTGGCCAGGAACTTGCGCTCGGCCTCCGACCGGCGCTGGTTCTTGAGGCGCTCGCTCCGGCGCAGGCGCGCCGCCGGGACCTGCTCCTCCTCCTCCTCGTCATCGCTATCGCTCTCGTCGCTGTCATCGGCAGCCGCCGAGCGCCGGGAGGGCCGAACAGCGCCCTTGACATCGGGCTCGTCCTCGTCGCTGCTATCCTCGTCTTCAGAGGACTCGAAGTCGCGAATGTACTGCTCATGCACAAGGGGGCCCTCGCCGGCGCCCCCGGCCTTGATCAGGCCATGCGTGGCCGGGTCCACCTCCATCGGCGCGAAGAAGGCGCTGTCGTCATCGACACTGAGCATGGCATTCCGCTGGAGGCCCTTGCTGATCTGCGTGCGCAGGGTGACCAGTTGGTCGCGATCCCCGGCCCGCAGGCCCCAGCAGACCATGACATTCTCCGAGGGGAAGGTCAGGAAGGCGAAGTCCATGTTGTACTGAGAGACGTGGCAGCCATGTGGTCGGTGGCAAAGGGGACGGCGAAGGTCAGCGAACAAGCACCCCCCACCGTGGGAAAAGAGCCCCGGCATTCGCAGCACCAAGCGGAAGAGGAGCCACGTACCGCCTCCAGCCCGCCAAAGTCAATGCGCAGCTCCGGCGACAGGGGCTCACGGACGACCTCCTCGCCGGAGTTGACCTTCAGGCTGAGGTAGGCTGTGTCGGGCAGCGGGCAAGTTAGAGGGCCATTCACCGGACGAACGGGGCAGCATTTGGGGATGCCCAAATGACGCACTGATCTTGGACTTCTTGTCGACAAAAAGCGTCAGGGTGGAGTCCGGCCGGTAGGGGACGAAGGCCTGCTCGTGGAAGAGAGCAATGTCCACCGCATACTCGGCCACCTTCTCGGACACAAAGCCGGCCGGCATCCGGCAGAGGGCAATCATCGGCTGGATGCTCCTGGGGGCGCGAGCGGGAGGAGTCGAAGTCAGGGCCGAGTCGAGGAAAAGGGCGAAGAAGCCGAAAGAAGAAGGGGCGGATGGGAAGACAAAAGGGGGAGAGATGGATAAGGGCGTACTTCTGGGGCTATCAATCCCCAAGCAGAGGGATGCAGAGGCATGATCAGTGACATGTGCGGGGAGGAAAAAGAGGAGGAAAGGAAAGAGAAGCAGGGATCTTGCGTAGTGGGCGTGTAGGTGGCACAGGTTGACACGCACATTTTCAATGGCGTCGGCAAACTCATCGTTGTCGGAGTCGCTCTGCTCGCAGGCCTCCTTGAGCGAGCGGAAGCCACGAAGCTCCTCCAGCTGCTGGGCGGTGGGCCGAGAGCCAGCGGCACCAGGCTGGCGGACACGCCACAAGCCCTGGAGAAGGACCTTGTCGATCGCGGGCAAGGCCATCTCCGGCGCGCCGGAGGCCACGATGAAGTAATAGATGATCGTGGAGCTGGCACCCTGCGCAGGAGGGAAGACACATGGGGAGAGATGGAGGGACAGAGGAGGGGACAGGGTGCGTGTGTGTGTGTGTGTGTGTGTGTGTGTGTGTGTGCGGAGGAGAGGGGGGCAGGGGGCAGGGCAATTAGCGTGTGGGACAAGGACGGGGAGGGGACTGGAGAGGCAAGGGAGGCGAAGGGGCAGGCGCAACATGACAAGCGACGCACCTCATCGGTCGAGCCAGCAGTGCGCAGGACCAGGGACTTGCCGATGCAGTTGTACTCGATCACATCAGACAGCGGAATGATGATCTTCTCTGTGGATGTATCCCGATGCAAGAGGGAGGAGCGACGGGGTGGGTGAGTGGGAGTCGTAGCAGGGGAGCACATGGAGGAAGGGGGGGGGGAGGGGGAGAAGGATGAGCATGGGCATGGGTATCGGCATGAGGAGGTGGTGGAGGAGGAGGAGGAGGAGGAGAAGGTGGGCATGACGCACGCGTGGCATTGATGTCAACCATGAGCGAGTCGGCGCCGTTGAAGGCCTTGCGCGCCAGGATGGTGTCCTCGCAGCTATGCCGCAATGGAGAGAGTCAGTCAGAGGGGGAGCTGTCAAGGTGGCTGGCAGGGAGACATATGGGCGGTGCCGCGTACACAGTGGACTCCTGACCGCCAAGGCCATCGGAAACCATCACCCTGGAAAGGGCCACGGTGAAGTCGTCAGTGCTGTTGCTTGTGCCGGACTCGGACTTGCTGTTCTTCCGGTCGGCGGGGGGGCGCTCGCCGCGGAGCAGGGCGGGCAGAGAAGACATGGTTGCGTGTGTACGCGCTTTGAGGGGAGGGAAGGGGGGGGGGGAGGGGGGAGAGAGGGTGTGTGGAAAAGTAGAACACAGGGGAGAGGAGCCAAAAGGAGGGTGCTGGTGAAGTTGCCTCGGACTCCTCAGGCGGGTGTTTCTTTGGATGGCCCGCAGGCCGCCGGACGCGGCCCCGCCCCCCCCCCCCCCCCCCCCAGTATTCGCTCGGGGGAGGGACATGTCTGCCCAGGGCGGGCAATCTCACCAAAGGAGAAGGTCCATAACCGTGGATGTTTAAAATTGCGCGCAGCGGCGGATGATTCAAGAAAAATGATCGACGCGTCTTTCAATGGCAGGAGCCCCGCAAGCAGGGGGGCTTGGAGACCTGAAGCTAGTCTAGAGACGCGTTCCCCCTCCCCCGTCCGCGGGCAAAGGGCGAGCATGATCCGTTCCTGCGCAACCAGACTGCTCGGGGTAAGTGGCCGGGGCAGTCATCACGCTGATCGTCACATGATGCGCACACACGTGCCACCGAGCCGATCACTTTTCGGGCGGTCGATTGTGTGGCTTTGCTCAAACGATCGGCCCGCGTATGCCCCCCACCC